CCCCCCCCCCCCCTCAGCCCCCAGGGGGGCCAGACCCACCATTTATACAAACTTTGTTCCCCTTCCCCCAAGGATGCTTCTGACCAAATATGGATCAAATCCTTAGGGTTAGGGTTAGGTCATTCCTACAGAAGAAGAAGGATTTTAAAGAATAATTTGCTTTATTTCCTCTATTTGGCCCTGCCCCTCAAGCCTCTCGGGGGCCAGACCCACCATTTATACAAAATTGGTTCTTCTTCACCCAAGGATGCTCCACACCAAATTTTGTTAAAATCCGCACATTGGTTCATGACTAGTAGTGTAAAGTTGACGGACAACGGAGGACGGACGCAGGACGACTGACGCTGTGGTATGGCATAAGCTCACCTTGGTCCTTCGGACCAGGTGAGCTAAAAACAATTTGGTCGGGTTGTATAAAAAGTATCCGGGGGGGTGGGGAATTGAATATAGGTTGGGTAATGACTATAACGTAACTGTAAATGTTTCTACTTGACTCCCCAAACCTAATTGTGTCCATTGATTGAGAATTATTTTGGGCATAATTTTCTGGCCCCAGGAGTAGGGGTAAATAAACATGCAACTGTAACCTTCTGATCAACTTCTGAACTGTTATTGATTAAAAATTAGTTTTTTTCATAGGGGGGTACTTTTTATACAGGGGGGGGGGGTTACTTTTTTTTTATTCTGCATAAAAAGTATCCGGATACTATTTAAGCAGAAGGTTCATTTTATGCATGACACCAGTCCTTTGGTCATCAACTGATTTCAAGGTCCCAGAGAGTAATCTTTCTTCATAGCAAATTTGGTTGATATCTACATATGCCTATGTGTTTATAGGGTGGAGTGACTTAGTCCAGAAGGGGACATGGACCAATCGATGGCTTTATTCTGGTAGCTTAAATGTGTTTATTTCTTCATGCCCTGCAAGCAGCTGTATAAATCGGTTAGATGTTATGACCATGGTACTAAGTCATCAATTTTTGACAAAGCTGAATCCTTTGGACAGTCATGATAACACGAGTTGCATCAATTTTCATGTCTAGCAATTATACAAATATGGCCAAAGAGTGGGGATCTCAACCATCTCCATGTTATGACAGGGACTGAGTTCTCATCTACAGGCAGGACCCTAGCTAATGGAATCAATTGGCAGTGTATAGGAGTAATCGTTTCTTCAAATCAAGAAAATGCAGGCCAGTATATGCTTAATTCCCTTTAGCTAATCCTGGTAGCAGGAGTGTGTTAATATTTGAATGCTTTAGCAGTAGAATGTTAGAGTCTCAACCATTTCCATATTAGGCCACAGAGACCACGTCTAAAGGAGCAGAGCAGGACCCCAAACATATCCTTGCAAATGACTGTATGCACCTCTTCCTGCCTAGGAAGATCATTGCAATTTAGCACGAATATCAACTACTTCCTTGTCGTGACAAAGGGGTTTACTGGTGACAATCCAAATTTCATGATTGCATCGTTTATTTATAAAGTAAAATAAAAAGTTGATTTGTTTGATGTACCTGTAGGCTGGACATGAGATGATACTAATCCAAAGGTGGTTGTTCTGTAGGTCTTTACTAGACTGGATACCAAACTGATAGAGCGAGTTTTGTACAAGGTCCTCCGGGGTCAATGCCTGAATTTCTACCTTGATCTGCCCAATCCCTCGGTCGACAGCCAGCCAGTCATTGTACAAGAAATGCCATATCTTATCTGTTTGGTTGTCTCGAACCACAATCTGTTTCAGAAACCTTAAAAATTTGGTAAAATCAAATAGATTATATTTTGAGCAGAGTTGTTATTGCAGTTCATTCCATGTATTGCCACACTATAATGACCTGTGTTGACCTTCTATTACCATATTAATAACATAGGGGTTAATATTCATATTGAGATCATAGGTAGATACATAGTAGAAAAGAGTGATAATCAAAGTTACAGGTGAAGTAGTTCTGATGTCCCTATAGATGTGTAAACTGCACTCTGAAACAGTGGACATGGACACCTACCTGAAAATGTATGGAATAGCCCGATATAAATATTCAAAGAAAAAGTTCAAGGTGACAGGTTATTTAGTTCAAGTGACTATACACATGTAAGTTAGCCTGAGAATATCTAGTGGTACATTAACTCACTCCCCCCTGAAGACACATTTAAACTCTTCTAACTCAAAGATTGGAATAGCTCATTATAAAACTTGAGGGGTGAATGAGTTAAGGTAATACTAACAGAAAGCCTCGTGTGGAAGTCACCTTCAGTGGCTCTACCTATCACTGCTGGGTAGTTGGCCAATACAATGTTGCCTAGATGGCCACAATAACCCCTCGCCCCGTCGCCTATTGTCTCTTGCTTACTGATTTGTTTGGTTTTCTCTACAACCTCGCCATTTCCACCATGGATGGTACTCAAAGTTTACCGAGTCTTTCTCTGTTGTTGTGGATGCATTGATATCACTTCTTCTGATACAAAGTCTTATACGTTCTTAAAATTTCTTTCCTATTTTCTGGTGAAATTAACATCATACTTGTTTAAACCAGAATCGTAAACCAAAGGCGACATAATAACCTCATGTCCTTAAAAATACGGCCAAGAAAGAATGGACTTTACATATCAAGATGATCAGGTGTACTGGTTCTATTCCAATTTGTCAAAGAGTTGGAGACGGGCAGTCTGTGCCAAGTGAGCTTACAAGTCCTACCACAAAGTCCTAGCTACCATTTGTTGACCATAAGAGAGGTATGATTTGATTAATCAGTGGAATTGAACTACCCACCATGCAGGATTTTCACCAGAGTTGTCGTGCCATACCACGATACTCTGTAATTCTCCAAGGCTGAGTGGTGTGGTCAGCACAAACCAATCCTCGGCCCCAGTTTGAAAGTGCTGGACAATACCATCAGACAACAGGTGTTTAGAGCTGAAACCTTTGCTGCCATGGAGACACATAAAAACATTGGAGGTTGTTCCTGCCCTTCTCCACCAGCCTGTCACAAATCCAACCACATACACATATTTGTC